GGAGTTGTAGAGTAAATGAATAAATACATGTCTGTCTTATATTTAGGAGCTGGAGGAAGGGGAGATGAGGGAGTTAGTAGAAATAGATAAAGCTATCAGGCTTCATTTAGAAAGAAAGATGGGGTCACACAGAAATAAAGGATGGCACATCCCACAAGCTGCACTGTGCTATGGATTGTGAAATCATGTTCTGAAGGGTATAAAGAAATAAAAGACCAGAGGAAAACTCCTTGAGGCTTATAGTAAGTCAATATTTACATGACATAAGCCTTGTGTTGGCAATTACACAAAGAAACCTAAACAAAGGAACTGAAACCTACCTTCTAACTGGAGCATCAGAAAGAAGGATGAAACTAAACACAGAACTCCTGTATCCAGGAGCCAATGAGCAAGTGCCCAGAGGGCAAGGGAAAGCAGTCAGCAGAGACGCCATCTGCAGCCTGGGCGGCCTGTTCCCAGGGGACAGAAGGCAGATTCCGCCATGAAGACTTGAGGGTGTGGTCTCCATGCTTAGAGGAGAGGAGTCCGGTGAATACAGGCACACACACACACACACACACACACACACACACACACACACACACACACACACACACTGGAATTGAGGCCTGGAATAAGCTATTAGAAGTTGATTGCCTCTGTTCTCTTTTCCTGCTTCACTTGGCAAGATTTTGGGATCACATCCCCAACATCCAGGGATGCTACAGCCTGTCTACCCTGCTAGTCCTCTGTAAACAGCTGGCCTGCTGAAAAGACACCAAGCAACTTCTCCCCAAGGAGATATGAGGCCCATTCAGAGCCTGTCAGAAAAGAGGGACATCTGAGAAGCCAGGAGATCTAGAGGCCACCTCTTCAGTGACAGGAGCAGGAGTAGGAGTCAGTTCTGCCCAGAATGTCTTCTCTCATTTAACGTTGACACTCAGGCAGGTTACAGGTGTCAGAGAACACCCTCTTATGGAAGGCAAGCTCTTCATGGTCCAGCTATCATTCTGGCTAGTTTCCATACTTCTCTGGATTTTCTAACAATGTCTTTGGATCAAAAAGAACTTCAGCAAGGCTTGCTGTTGACATGCTCCAAGGGAAATAATTCCAGAAGAAGAAACTCACTTCAGTGAGTCTTTTCTTGGCTGGGCATCAGCCAATGGCAAGAACAGCCTGGGAGAGTGACCCAGAGTGACTCTGCTGTGGAGGGTTCTTCCTTAGCCAGTCCATTTAACAAGCCAGGTACAGTTTCCATCCTGGGATACACAGAGAAAACCAATTCCTGCCATGTAAATTGAAGATTTTATCCCAGTGATGAGGGGACTATGTAATAAACAAAAAATATTTATTGTGTTAGAAAGGGGTTACATGCTGGAGAGAAAAATGAAGAACAGATGAATAAGGAGGGCTGGAGAAGATGAAGAAAGCTACCAAATGTTAAGCAGAATGACCAGGAGGGGAATTGATGAGGTGATCTTTAAGCAAAACTCTGAAGAAAAACAAACAAACAAGTAACCAAGCCATGCAAAGGATTCTAAACAGAGAGCCCTGAGGCAGGGGCATGCCCTTGGTGTTTGAGAAGGCTGGTCATACTGGAGTGGAATGGGCTTGGAAGAAGGTCTAGAAAACAAAGTCAAAGGTAATTAAGGGAACATTGTGCATTGTTAATCAGTATAAAACTTTCAGCTTTTACTTTGAGAAGGGAAGAGTGGGGAAGATTGGGGGTGGGGTTGATGTGACAGTCATCAGGCTCACTCTGACAGATGACATCAGCACGTCTGTTAGAGGGCAGATATACAAGCTCAGCAGTGGCTTTGAGCAGGAAGGATTCTTTTTGACTAATTGGAGGAGTGGAGGTAATGAGAAGTGGTCGGGCTATACATGGAGAATGCAGTTGCCGCAGGGTTGGAATGAGATGGCAATGTGTCTTGGTGATGTCACAGTTTGGGGAGTGCATCCTGTGAGCCAATGACAGTTCGTTGACAGCACTATACAAAGAGTCCTGGCTCTGGCCCTGGCCCTCTCCAGATAGTCTCCTGGGGGTGGCCATCTACTCTTTCAAGTCTGAAGTTCCCTCATTTAACATGGGAAGAATCGATGAGCGACGTAATGAAGCTCTGTTGCCTGCAATCCATGTTTGGTCTATGAAATGACTTTTCTAGGAAGTGCTGTGATACTTGCCTTTACGAATCAAACTTTCCCCTCACCTGTAACCAAGTTAATACTGTACTTTGAGATAACTTAGACTACGTACTCATTCTGCTTACAGACCGCGTCCCCAGTCTGTGGAGACTGACTTCTAAGAAAAACAACCCAATCCATCTTACTGTTCTTTGGACTCCTGGGGTCCCATGCTACCTATTTCTCCTCCAAGGCTCAGTCATGCCCCGCCTCATAACAACGAATATGCATGTAAGATGTGGTTATTAGACTGAAGATCATTTGCTAAAAGCAGCAAGGACTTCAAGGCAACGTCCCAACAAAAAGGATGAAAAGCACATGCAGGTAGACTGATGCTGTCCAGCCATGCCTTCATGTGCTGCTCTGGGTCAGCAGGGCCTTAAAAACATTTTTCTCCCTGCAAGACTCCTAGAAAAGACTGATCAAGACAGGAGCTCTTTGTTCCTTTTTGATTCGGTATTTGCTATGTTGTTCAATAAATAGAGAGGGCTGCTGTTGTATGAGAGGAGAGATTGGAACTCTTCATTCTCGGTAAATGACACCAAGGGTTGGTTTCCCTTACTTTACTCTGTGACACTGCTACACAGGTCCAATGAGTAGTCATCATAGCTAACACTGTTCCCCAAAGAAGCCCATAGTGCTCCCCCAACCCCCAGGACTAAAACTCAGCTTTCTCCTCAGGATGGTGTCTGGGGGCTCGATGAGTATGGGGACAGAGTGCAGCAGCTCACATGGCAAGTCTTATCCAGGCTGGCAGAAGGCACCAGTGAGAGCACAGAGATAAATTCCAGACAGAGCAGATGCAAAGTTAGGTAACACCCATGACCCTTGCCAACGACCAAAGCCCTTCACTGGGAAAAGGATGTCTCAGCAGGCTCTTGATCTTGCAGTCCAGGGCTTAAGGAAGGTCATGGTGAAGACATTCCAGGGGGAAACAGCACAGGATCAAGCCTTCATATGTAATAAATAAATAAATAAATAAATAAATAAATAAATAAATAAATAAATCCTTCTTGGCACAGATGCCATAACAAAGCTTGTGTTTACGACTTGGGAAACAGCCAATGGGGTCATAGAGCTTTCTGTGCATTGGTGTAGATGTTAATGACAGCCTTGGCAGAGACATTCCTATTCTGGTGGCTTCTTTCTCCAGGCTCCTCCTGGTAGGTCACAGGACCCAAGTCCCCAGATGGAATCCTGACCTCAGCTGAGCCAGGTGAAGTTTCTTTCTCCAGAGTTAACAATGGAGCTGCGGAGGCTGAGCTAGTGCTGGCAGGAGAGGCACAGAAAAGTTGGCTGGCATAGGAATAAGTGTGGGACAAGTGTGGGCATGAGGGAATGCTGGCTAGATAGAAACAAGGCAGGTGTGCAAAGAAAAGTCAGTGGGTGAAGGCATGGCCCTGGAGAAACTGATAGAATTCCAGCTCCCTGTGGTCCCATGGCAGTCCCTGTCCTCAGTGCCTCTGCCCAGCAACCCTTTCTGCTACTTAACATCATTGGGTGTCATTTCTATTCTGTATCAAAACAATCTTTGGGATAACTCAATAAGATTCTATGATAGGGACTAGAGAGATGGTTGAGCTGTTAAGAGGGCATCTCTCTTTGCAGAGGATTGGAGTGTGGATCTAGCATCTATAGGCAGACCACTGCCTGTAGCTATGGCTCCAGGAGATCTGACACAGTTTTCTGACCTCCACAAACACCACATTCATGTATGTGCACACGCACAAGTACACACACACACACACACACACACACATGCACACATGCATGCATGCAGAAATAACAAATGAACTTTTAAAAAGATTTTATAATAACATGGAATAACTAAGTTATAAAGCATATAAAATTTCATACATTCTACATTTATCTTTCAGAAAAAAAAATATATGTACACACAACCCCAGTTGCAACAAAGAAGCACTAAAGTAACTCTTTTCAATTTTATGTAAAATTATTTTGGTATTCCTATAATTTCTGAAAGAAACTGTTGGGAAATCGAATCAATATTTAACCATGAACACTACCACAAATGAGTTCTAAAATAAGAGACAACATCAATAATTAATCCCGTGTTTATAGTTTTCCTGGAGTCAACACAAGTAGTTCATTTTTCTAAAATATCAGAAAATGGATTTTTGTGAACTTACCCTTTTGAGTTACTTTATGTTTTTATAAAATTAAGAAAACGTGATAAATGCAATCTGTTGGTCTCATATATATTTTGCATCAGGTTTTTGTTGTTTGTTTTGCTTGTTTGTTTTTGTAGTCAGGCTGTTGCCCAAGAGTGAAAACATCTCCAGGATGCCCAGGCCTCAAATGCTCTGTATACCCTAGAAAGGGCTGCTTCAGAATGGACCACACATCCATAGGACCTCGCAGAGGACCCCCCTGGGGGGCAGCTGTCCTTCTGTGCTGACCAGCTTTGGCTGTACATCTTGTCCTTAGACTTCTCAGATCCATAACGGGCATGCTCATGGCAGAGTAAGAGTTAAGGCTACCGGGAACTCAGATCAGCTAGCCAACCTCTTCATCTCAGAGACAGTACTTTAGCCAAAGTGGAGAAGGCCCTACTTTGGGGTGTCACACTCCTTTGCTTCCCAAGGCAAAGAACTCACTATGACTCTATTTGATCTGGAGTTGGCTCTTTGAGGTGAGCTAGGAGGATGCCGAGATACCCAGAAGCCTCTTTCCCCCACACTCAGCGGAGGACCTGGCCATGCCAGTGGCTTCTCTGATCCTCTCCCCTGAACACTGCACAAACAGAGATGGCATCTGAAGCCTGCTTCCTCCTCCTCCCAAGAGGCTTGCTCAGAAATGTTTGTTCCCGTCCTTACCTCCAGAGGGCGTGCCAGCAACTCTCCTGAGGAACTTAACCCACTCCTCCATCTCTACCTGGGAGCTGGCCATGAGAATGTAGGAGTCTTGTCCCATGCGGTTCTGGTCACATGAGGCTAGAGGAAAGAATAGCACATGGAGAGGTCGTAGAGTGGGAGGAGCCACAGCCAGGGGTGAGCCTGGTTTCTTAGTTCAGTGAAGCCCTGAGAGTCAAGTAACAATGTTGTTTAACCTTGCTCGGTGGCCGCGGATCTCAGTCCACTCTTATGGCTTTAGCCAATGGCATATTTCTATTGACAAATCACTGAATACAGGGCTCACGGTTGCCCGGGCTTTGGCAGACAGCCGTTCCCACAGAGGTCAGAAGCCATTTGCTACTGACAGGAAGAGTGCCTGCAGGGTTCAGCTCAGCATTCAGGGAGACTTCTAGTCTCCACACCCACAGCAGGTGCTTCCCAAAACAGCCTGAGCTCAGCTGTAGAGATCTGGAAGGGACAAAAGCCCCAGGCAAAAGGGATAATGGGTACTAAAGTGCCTTTATCATAGAACTGGTGTCTCCTGACACAGGATGCTGGGATCACACAGAGCCTGCAGATGGTGGGTTTCCAACACTTGGTTAAGGGGCATATGGAGCCTCGTTTACCATTCTCACTTTAAACTGAGTAAAGCTTAAATGTGTCAGTGAGCAAAAGATGGTGGAAAAGACAAGGAGGACAGGTGACACAGGAAGGGACAAAAAAATGAGGAGAAGCGGCAAAAAAAGAAGAGAGGAAGAGAAAGGAACCTAACATCCTCCTACACCTCCTTGCAGGCAGAAATCTGCAGATAGAGAATTTTCTTTCTTTGGAAAGCTGTTAGAAGGGACAAAAATAATAATATTCCCTTCAATCACTGGACACTGTTGAAGCCCCCTCTTCCCACAACGCCAAGTCATCTGAGAGAGCCCATTCCAACTGTCCTAGGGGCCCAGCCCTGGATTTCCCTGCAGAAACCAGCTTTCTAACACCTATGGTTCTGGCCCCCTGGACTTAGCATCACCAAGCCTTCTAATGCAGTTTGGGATGAGCTGATTCTAAACCCATCTTGCCATTGTCTCTTTTCCCTAAAGGCCTTTCTTGTGGGTATCTCCAGGAGTAAAACGGGAAGGAAAATGTGCTCGGGAAAGAACTAAAAACTACCTGAGTAACCACAGGGCCCTTTGAGATGGAGTGGGGAGTTGTGATACTATCAGCTTACAGTTTTTAGGACTAAAGCCCAGAGATGCCAGCTCTCTTCCCAACCAAACACCAGGCAAGGCTGCTGCTCTCCTCATCCCTATGGGCACCCTGCTGGACAGAATCTATCTGCTGTCCTTCTCTGCCAAGAACACACTTCAGTCTGCTGTACCATCAAAATACATCTTGGTTTACTGGCTCCAGGAACTCCTTCGGTTCTGCTGTAAGAAGCCCCACTGGGAAACACTTCCTTCAGTTGCTACTTCTGAATGGCCTTAATGCACAAGTCTCCTCCCTGATATCCATCGCTGCTCTGTCCTCATCCCTATGGCTTACATTTTACTCTCAAATCACATGAATTTTAAGCATAAGCCATATCACGTCTCTGCACTTAGGACTTCCCAGTGGCTTTTGATGCTTCTGGCATAGACGTTCAATTTCTCATAATTGCCAAGAAGTGCCTATCGAATTCCCCTATTCCTGTAATCTTTTCATCCCGACCACATTGGTCCACTTGGAATTCTCTGACATATGGAGCCTTGGGGACATTGCCCTGGCCATCCCTGTCCTGTGAAATGCTTTCTCCAGCTGAACACTTAACATTCTCAGTTGCCATCTTCATAAGTTGACCTCAATTCCATGTTCTCAGTGACACAATTTCTGCCTGCTGCACTATCAATGACAAAGCAACTACTTCCAACCCCCACAGTCAGAATGTGTTCTCTCTTTGCTTTGGCCCATCAGGAAGAGTATACAGTTCACCTGTGCTACCCTACAGCTTTGGTGTGAGACTGGACTGTAAGTTGCAGGTGGCCATCTCTGTTCTTTGACCACCAGCCCTATGACAGCACTAGCTGTTAGCAGATGCTCAACATATTTGCTGTTGGATGAAGGACAGCATCTCCTAAAATGCTATGAATGAACTCTGAATGAAATGTTACACAACAGAACGAGAACTCCACACGTGTTCTCAAGCTAAAGGTTGGACAGAGAGGGATGCCCTCCTCAACAGTTGCCTGCTGTAAGTTAAAGGCATAATTATAAGTACATACTACTGCACACCCCTGAACCTGGGCACCAAAGAGAGAGGCCCTTGATTGGGAATCCTGTTTCTAATGGCAAAATGACCTTCTTCAGTTCACAAAGAGGTGAACTGAAAATTTTATGTAGCTTAGTATAGGCTGGGTAGAGCCTTGGAAATAGCAGCAGGAACATAGGTTCTGAATTTAGGATTAAACTATATGATCACTTATGTGGAAGTAGAATACTCTGTGACAGGAAGAGACAGAGACAGACAATGAGATAGACAGGGAAAGACAGAGACTGAATGATAGAACAGAGTAGGCAGAGGGAAGGAGGAGGGAGAGAGTGGGAAGAGCCAGGCAGGGTGAGCATCCAGGAACTGCAGCAGGAGGATATATACATATACATAGACATAGACATAGACATGGACATAGACATAGACATAGACATAGACATAGACATAGACATAGACATAGACGTACACGTACATGTACACATAGTGATAAGGACAGCCTCTTCCCTTCCCTCCCAAAGAGCAATCTTCTAGAGTGGTGGTTTATGGAGAAACCCATAATGCACTTTCAGGGAGTTTTCCATGGAACTTTCTGAGTAGAAAATGCAGACACTGGGGAACACTGTTGTGGGTGGTTGTATTCCAGGGGTTGCATCGAGAGAGAGATCCTAAAGAAATCACAACTCAGGAAAGAAATCAATGGAGCTTTCCTAGATGGGGAGGAGCAACTGGAATGGTGGGGGAAGGGGGCTAGATCTCCAGATTAGAATACCAGCGAGAACCCATGAAAATCACCCAAATTCAATTGTCCTTTTCTTTGGTGGAAATCGTCAGCCGACATTAGGAGTTTTCTCTGCATCATAATTCCTGTCAGGTGTTCCCAATGCCAAACATTTGCACGGCACTTACTGTATACCAGGCACCATACCACATGTTTTACCCAGACATCTCCATGTAATCCTCACTGTCATCATTGTCCTCATTACAGACAAATCAGAAACATCAGGGAGAAATTAGAGGGGCCACTGTACTGTGAGAGGTGTGGTCAGGATTTGGGTGTGGGTAGGTCGGCTCATGCTTCCTCCTCCACCCATGGCCCTTTGTACATGGCTGCCTATGTGAGCAAGACAGAGTGGTCTTGTGACCTTCTTTACTGGGTATCAGGGCTGTCGCAAAGCAGACAGCATACAATACTAACATTCCTGGCTGGGCAGGGCAGGAGACATTGGGGAGGGCAATTCATCCCCAAGGTGGCAGATGCATAGGGTATATGCGAAATTCCCCTTAGTTCCTAATATACTCTTCATGGAGAACAGGCACCTTCCAGCACACAGACCATACACACTCAGGTGTCATGCGGCAGCTGGCACGTTTAAAGTTCTCAAAAGAGAATTCCATTTTTTTCCATTAGGTCCTGTTGGAACATATAGGACCACTGGCATTCTACCACTGCAACCCATTCAAGTGGCAGAGTCACACAGCTCAATGTATAGTCATGCCACGGTAGTATTCTGCAATCTGGGTGAGGGAACATGGATGATGACTTCACAGTGACGTTCCAGAGCTTCATGCTACAATTCCTGGCTCCAGGCACTCCTGAAATGCTCATGGGATTGCACCAACTGAGCACCACTTGTCATGGGTGTCCCTTATGCCCTTGATGCTAGTCAGTCAGTCACCTAGATGTGCTCGCTAACTATATGAAGAGTTCATAGCTTGGTTGAATGATGGACCATTGCCTTGACTTCTAGGTGTGGGGTGGAAATGCAGGCTACCTACCTGGAATAACTTCGAAGACAAATTTCCCAGCTTCTTCGGGGTTTGTGGCGAGTTCTTTGACTGTACTGCCCGGCAGATACATGCAGCCCTGAAAGATCAAAGGTTGTGGGGTTTTTTGTGCAATCAGCAATTTCTCACCTGGGAAGCAGCTGATTCAGGAAAACCAATGAGATGCTAACAGTGGAGTAAGGAGGACAAGCAGAGCGCCTAGGAGAAGCAGGGCAAGGGCCTGACTGGAGATACCTTGTCAGAGAGCCAAGTCACCTCTACCCAGATTGCACACAATGTTTCAGCATCGCACTGGGCTTTCCCACACGGCAGTTCATTAGATCCTCACAGCCCCTGAGTGGCAAGGACTGTCACTCCCACCACTCAGAAGAGATTATATTGGGAGCTCAATGACAAAGCTGATTTCTCTAGACTTAGTTATTCCTAATTATATACATGTCAAGGTTGGATATTGGGTCCTAAGTTGTCATTATTCCAAACAGTCTAAACAAAACTAGCAGCAGTGAAAGTGTGAAGGATTAGAAGCTTAAGACATTTCTAAAATAGTATCAGAAGCCTGGAAGAAGAAAGCTTCCTGAGGTCTAGGAATAAAGATGTCTGAGAGAAAAAAAGAAAGAATCAGAAGGAAGTAAGTCAAGATGGAGGGAGGGGGCTGGGCCTTTAATCCCGGCACTTGGGAGGCAAGGGCAGGTGGATCTCTGTGAGTTCGAGGCCAGCCTGGTCTACAGAGCGAGTGCCAGGATAGGCTCCAAAGCTACATAGAGAAACCCTGTCTTGAACAACCAAAAAAAGAAAAAATCAAAAAAGGAAAAAATGGAGGGAGAGAAGTGTGAGGGAGGAGGGGGGAGGGAGAGGAGGAGGCAGGGATGTGGGAAGAGGTAGATAGATGGCAGGAGGAGGAAAAGCTTCCTGTCCATAAAGTAGAGCTCTGCAATCAATCCCTCTGCAGTCTTCGGTGCTGTCACCTGCAGGTCCTCACTGTCGGGAGACCACCTGTCTCACCACACAATCCTTATGTCACATGGCTGCTGTGCTAGTTTGAATTAGTGCGGCTCCAGAGGAAAAAGCCATGTCGTTTTTATACAGGAAGGAATGCCACCAGGAAGGGAAGTCACTCTCAGAGTACCTCTCTGAACTGTCACTTGATACCCCAAACCACTTCATCACCAAATTGTAAGGACAAAGTACTAGTGTTACTACATATATGTATAATCTGTTGAGCAACTGCCAGGTGCCAAACCCTGCTCACTGCTCCAAATGGAATTCATAAGAAAGACTGTTCTCCTGGCTGGAGAGGTGAGGAAACAAGGCTTCAAGAGGCTGATTAGCTGGCCTAAGACCACAAGTCACACTAAACAGGAAATGATGACTTGAACACTGGACAGCGAGAATCAGAATTCCTGGTCAGGATTTCCTAACCAGACTTACAGACCTGTCTCAGAGAAGCAACAGAATTCAAGTCATTCACACTGGGCATCCACAGTACCCGCAGATCCTCCCTCCTACTGTGCAGGGAGACCCTTGGACATCATAAACATCCAGGAGGGTGGTCAGAGGAAGACACCCCAGAAGATAAAGGTGGCACAGTGAAGAGGAAGAAGGGCCCTGTCACTAGCTGTGCCAGTTGTCCTGGATGGATTCTGGGTGGAGATGGGGCAAAGCCAGAGTGCAGATGGGGACACATTCAGAAGCTGTGTGTGCCAGGTACTAAGCACAGCCATCCCTAAAACTTACACTACATGAGTATATGGTAAATGATTTCGTGTTCAAAGAAATAATGCAGGCCTGAAGTGGCTCAGCAGTTAAGAGTGGCTACTTCTCTTCTAAAGGACACAATTTTGGTCCCCAGCACAGTGGCCCATAACTTCAGCTCCAGGAAACCTGAAACCTCGGGGGCCTCCTTGGACTCCTGCACTCATGTGCACATACCTCCTCCTCGCCCCCTGCATAATTAAAAAGCAAGAAAAGAAAGAGACAATGTTTCCCCAAGCTTGTCATTTCCTGTTCTTTCTATTAGGCCTGTGGTGTGATTTATCCCTGTAGTAGAAATTTTATGTAACACTGTGCTATTGCAAATCTTCTCAACTCTGTTTTCAGTGACACCATGTGGCACTTTGGTTTTTTTAAATTATAATTTTATTCTATGTGTATGGGTGTTTATCCTGAATGTATGGCTGTGTACCACTTACATACCTGGTGCTTGTGTAAGCATAAGAGGGCTTGGAGTTACAGACAGTTATGAGCCACCACATATGTTCTGGGAATCGAACTTGAGTCCTCTGGTAGAGCAGCCAGTACTCTTCACTGCTGGGCAGCCTCTCCAGCCCTCATGTGGTACTTTGAATCAATCATGAAACGAATATTTACACCACAGAAACTGGCAAGTTCTACACAAATTTTGCCATCAGGGAGTCCGTTGTTATACATTTACTAGCATACCACTGACAGGCCTGTTAGGCTAAATTCCAGCACTGGGGCATTTGGGACACAGGTTTTCTATAATGTGTGGGTGCCACACATTTCCACCAGCTGTGTGCAGTCCCTGTTTCCTAGCTTCACCTGCCACCATCTAGAACACTTTCCCTGTGTTAGCAAGAGGACATGGTGGATCATCAATGACCGTTGTATAACACTGATTACTACCGAGATCAAAGTTTTAATAGACGTCTATTGGGCATTGCATTTCTTTGGTAAATTTGGTCATTTTTTTTCTACTGATTTGTTTGAATTTTTCTTACAGTTTTGGAAGAATACTTGAAATATTAAGAACATTTGTTTACTAAATACGCACATAGAGCTTCCCATTGATTAAAGTCTTTTCATGCACTGATTTTTAATTTTGAAATAAGCCATCCTTGTTGCTTTAAAAAAAAAAAAACAGCTCCCCTCTGCCCATGCAGACAGCTGCTGTTTCTTCTGCATTTTTGCAAATGGGTGTTTCCCATTTAAGTCTTTACTTACATTCTGGAATGTGGAAATAGAGTATTACTTGTTTTCAAGAACCTAACCTGTAACTATAACTTCAGTTCATTTTCTAGATAGTTCCAGGAATGCCCAAAGTGTTACAAATGATAGTGTAGCTAGTAGAACACTGAATAAAAATGATGTTTATTTGAATGAAATGATGGAGATTGCACAGAGATTGCAGAACACCCACCAATCTGTGGTTTGAGATAATAATGTGACCATCAGTTATATTTCCAACAGTAAGAATTTTTTTAATTTAGAACGTTTGCCAGGCAGTAGTGGCACATGCCTTTAATCCCAGCACTTGGGAGGCAGAGGCAGATGGAACTCTGTTGAGTCCAAGGCCAGCCTGGTTTACAGAAAGAGTTCCAGGACATCCAGGGATACATAGAGCAACCCTGTCTTGAAGCAACAACAACAAAGTACCTTAAATTTCATAACATTTATACAATCTATTATTTGCCATGATTATTGAGTGTATTGTAGAATAATATTCAACACTAAAGGAATAATATTTGTGACATATTGTCACCTTTATTAAACGATATCCCTATTTCACACTTTGGGAAAACTTTCTAAGTATCTGTGGACAGGGAATGCTGGATTTAGACAGCTATTTCTTGAAGGGAATTGTGAATAATTTTGTATTTGTGTTTTTCTGATGATCTAAATTTCCTACTGTGCACAATTAGAGCTTTTATAATCAAATATGCAAAGCAACACACAGTAAAAATAGATCCTTAACAAGGAATTGGCCAGGCATTGGTGGTGCACGCCTTTAATCCCAGCACTGGAGAGACAGAGGCAGGTGGATCTCCGTGAGTTCGAGGCCAGCCTGGTCTACAGAATGAGTGCCAGGATAGGCTCCAAAACTACACAGGGAAACCCTGTCTCGAAAAACTAAAAAAGAAAAAAAAAAAAAAACAGGAATAACCATTCTATCCCTACAAACAATCTGTGTTTTTTAGACCTGAAATGAGTGTGTTGTTTTAGCAGCAGCCTTTTTTTTTTTTTTTTTTTTTTTTTTTTTTTTTTTTTTTTTTGCAGCCACTTGGTAGGGGTTGTGCTGTTTCCTCACTTGGCCTCTTGGTCTGATTACCATATTCACAGATTTTGTAATAAACTGTCCTTGCGGACTTAGGACATAATTGCCTACTCATCTCTGGTCAATTTAATCACGAGAAACCATGAGGTGAGCTTCTCACACAGGGAAGAAGCCAGGAATCACGCATGACTATGCTACCCTTGTCACTAGTTTGTTTTTACAAAGCAGGTGTTCACGTGTGCTTTTTATTATTAGATCATGTGACAAGCACAGGCCAGGCAGCACTGCCTCATTTTAAACAAAGAAGGGGATCCAGAAAAGGTGCAGATAATTGCAGTCCCAGGAAAAAGAGCTCAGTACTCCGTGGGAGGCACCACCCCCTTCCCACATTTCACCAAGACAGCCACTACCCAGCGGACCTTTCGGTGGGCTTGGGGTGGCCGAAGCGGCATTGCCTCCCAGAGGGTTCTCACATTAGTCTGATGCACCAGCCACCGTGATCTTGTCCCGTATTTGCTAGACTTGACAAGGTCTGTGTTGTTTATAAAGAACAGGAAGTCCAGTCACCACACACAGATGTCCGAAAAAGCCTGGCGAGGCGGAGTCCCGGTGGCTGTTTCATTTTGGTTCCACCCATCTGCTTGTCCGTTCACCTACTTAGCCACCCCCAAATCTATACATATCTTATCTTTGCCTTCCTAATTTTTGTAGAATTTTCTCTAACACGTTCTAGTAAAGCCCTTCACCCTGCTTCCCTCATCAGATATGCTGCAGTCTTGGGTGCTAGAGACCTCAGTTGATACTCGAGATCCCATAGTCATGGCTAATGGTGGCTTGTCACACTCTCACTCCCCACTGTGAGCGTCAGAATAGAGGGGACAGGGAGAAGACACAGACCTGACGATGAGGATAAGCCGTTTTGAAGACATAGCCTCACCCTCAAGTGCGATGCTGTCCCTCTGCTCTCAATACCCTGACTCTGACCACTGACCTTCAGCCCAAATCTCTCTCCTAGCACCCCAACCACTATCTATACTACCTGTGCTCCTGACTCAAGCTCCAGTCTGCTTTAGGATGCACAGAACCATCCGTGTACAGCAAGCTACAGACTACCTCCCAGTTCAGAATCCTGCCGTGACACTCATAGCCTGCCCCCTAAACCTACAGCCCGGCCCTCACTTCTCTGACCTCTTCCCCTCTAGTTCTCAGCACTGGTTCTGTTCCTGCTACCCGGAACCCCTGGTGCTTCCTACCCAGGTCACACATGCTCCTCTAGTCTGTGTGTGGCCGCTCCCTCGCCCAGGAGGCTCTTGTCCCAGAGATGCCCCTAGAAACCCTCTCTCCCTAGCATTGCCACCACCTGTGTGAAGTCAGTCTGCACTTGTCCTCTTTCCCCTGCTTTAATCACTGATCTACTTTAATCACGTGTCTACAATGGTTAAAGGGTGTGAGAGTGTTTACGCATGAATGTATTAGGCGTTAAACACAATAGCTGTTCAATACCTATTTATTGGCCAGCAACAGCAACAAGCCCCCAAATCAGTTCCCCTGAGATACCAAGATGGGTTGCCATCTCAGTGTCACCATTATAGTGTGGGACTGGACTTGGGGTGCGCTAGGAACCCTGCTGTGCTAGTGGGGACATTTCTGCTGCCTTCACACTCCTGAGTGTGACACACAGAGAAAATCTATGGCAAGGCAACAGCACCACCCAGGTGGAGGTATCTGGCCCCACTGAGGAGGCCTATAGGAGTGAAAGCAGCCAGTGAGCCCCTGCCCAGCTCCTCTGGGCCTGAAGCAAGGACACACACCCAGCAGGTACCTGTGCCTTTGAGTCCTCTTCGTCCTTGTAATAGTAGAGGTGCTGAGCTCTGAGCACGAAGTACCGCTGCTGCCAGTTTTTCACGATGGACCTCTGTTTCTTCAGCCAGCCCATCTTAATTGGCCTTTCCAGGGGGTTGGGGGTGGTTGGTGGGTGAAAAGCCGCCATCTGCTCCCCAGTCATCACACTCCTTGACCGAGCTATAGAGAAGAACAGACAGGCAGTCTGACTGAGGGACTTGAAGCAGGGAGTGGGGTGGGGGGCGGGGGGCTGAGAGGAAGCCCTGTTGTCCCCCCACACACACCCCAGAGAGGAGCTGGGCCCTACCCCTAAAAAGAGCCCAAACCAACCAGTGCCTGCAGTCCAGCTGCCTCCGGCCCTGCGAGCTGCAAAGCGGAGATTGGCTGGGGCCTCTGAAGAGGAAGTGGCCACAGCATCTGACAGAAGGTGCTTCCTTTTCCTGCGTGGGAGTAGTGTCTGACAGAGGACAAAATAATGCCCTGCTCTGTGTCCACACGGCTGCACAGACCACCAGAAGCTGCCTGCTTTTCCTCCATGGACCCTCTGAGGAGCCAGCCTGTAGCTTGGACCCCACAGCCCCTCACAGTCTCTCCAACAGACTGTATCCCCACGCCAGCACCCAAGGACTTGGCATCTCCTCAAGTTTCTGGCCAAGTGTCATCATGTGCCCTCTGGTCATCTGCCCACTGTGTTTACATCACTTTGCTGGGCCGGGGGCTTTGGTTGATACCTTGGTCTTAAGCTTCTGGTCAGAATGTCACCACTAACAGAAGCAGAAGTGGGACATGAAGCCAGACCCCTCCACCCACTGCAGGCTACCATTGGCTTTTGGCTTCCTACAGAGTTCTGCCTGTCATTTGATCGGGTCTTCATCTGTGCCTCCATGGTGACTCCCACCCAGAACAACTATCTCCTTCCTTCCTTCCTGTACCACCAAAGTGACCCACCCACCCTGCGGGCTTCCAGCCAACCCTTTCTTCTAACACCTGCCTCTTTTCTTCTCTAGCCAACCCGCAGTGACCTTACAGTCAGCCTCTGCTCCTTGGAGCCTGTCCTTATGCTGCTGTTCTAGACTTGCCCACACCCGTGTCTGTGCTGGGCACTACTGCTGAAGCACGTCTCTAGCTCATTTCCCCTTTAGTTAGCATTGAGACATCAACAGTATGGCCGAGTTATCAAGTCTATTCTCATCATTTTTCCTTACCTGACTAGAGAACTGTCCTTTCCTAGTTTTTAGCTGAGATTTCTCCAAGCCCCGGTGTCTGTACTAGCTAAACTGGGTTGTTGATAGTCCTTTGGATGTGGAATTGTGAAAATTAAACAAACAACACCCAGAAACCCTTTAGCATGCCTTTAGTTAAGTATATGTCACTCTTATTTTTTGTCAATGGTGACTACATCTAACTATACGGACGGAGAATATCTTTAAGAGCATCCTCGGCTTCTCTCTCACTTCAGGCTCAGCCCTCCTGATTTCACCCATTCCTGTCTTTAGTGCATTTAACTGCTGGCTTCTCCCTGTTGCATTTGATTCCTGCTCACCTATCTCCCCTGGTCCCATGGCTCTCGGCCTTTATTCACATTCTCAGCATCCTTCTAAACACCAGAACTTTACACAGAACGGCAGTCTTTGCTCCGCTGACTGTATCACCTGAATAAAGCAGAGTGCTACAGTGCAGAGTGCACAGGACTCTGCCCCCTTCAACCCTGCGATCACTCTGAGCTCCTAGAAGACACTTGCGCTACAGCTTCATCCCTTTACTCCCACTAGGGAACTGGAGGAGTTGCAACACATGTTTGATTGAGCCTTCCACTGGAAAGTCATCAACACAGGAGAGCATACAGTCAGTGGCTGTGGAAGATAACTTTTCAGCTCGATGCCCATTTGGTTTGTAAAGAGATTGCTTTGTATCAGTGTGTCTTGACACCCTAACAACAACAAAAAACTTTCCTTCCAATCTTTCTTCCCAGCTATCTGCTCATTCCCAGAGTCTTTCTCTGGAGCTGATCAAAAGAACCACCTGGGTGGTACAGATGATGAACAGGTTCTGGTCATGGAGTAATGAGAAGGAGTGGACCTGGGTGAAAGACTGGAGACTCTGTGCAGCATTGTGTCTATCTATGTAGGAGTGTATCTTGAAAAGACTCATCTATACCAGGAAGAAGGCACACATGGACCAAAGTGAAAGTCATTCACACACAAACGTTTTGAAGAGGATGGAAGAGGGCAGCGATGGGCATTCTCTCCTGCTGTAATGGCCTCAGTGTAAGGCCGTTCCAGTGCAACTCGTGGCTGCCCATCTAAAGTAACATCAGATATGGAAGAGGATCCCTTTCTTGCAGCAGAGTAATGAGGAGCCTCCATAGGACCAAATGGAACCAACATGGAAAGAGAAAAAATCAGGCAAAGGCCATACGGTGTCTGTGAGGACTTAGCTCTCTTGAGCCACTCCCAGAACCCCACAGACCTTATTAGGATCACTTCTAGAGGCAAAAGACGTGGAAGATCTCAGAAGCATCCAGAAATGAGACAGGAATCAGGAGAACCCAAAAAGGTGAAGGTGCTGTAGATTGGAGGGTTTGATTAACATGAAACCCAGTGCTAGTGCATTCTTGTATACTTAGTTCTGGAGGAATTTCATGATTCTTTAGGGTGAAAAACAATAACCAAGCCCCAAATGATCACCCTTAAAAACATCTGTGCCCTGAAGAATGGCCTAGGAAAGGCAGGGAGGATGTGTGACAAGCCGGAAGTCAATCCCAGTACTGGGAGACAGTGACAGCTTGGGGCATGGTGAGCCAGCAACTGAGCAGAGGAGCTCCCTGCCCTGTCTTAGCCCCCAGTCCTGGTCATCAGGCAGGCCTCTTATGGATGGTACCAGTATGAGGAAGCAGCCTGGTGGGCCTTGGCTCTGACTAAAATTCTTCATTACTTCTTTGAACAGCCCCTCTTTGGAGGTGATCTGCTATTGTCAATGGTTAATTCCTTGTAGTGAACATGGCCATGGTGACAAGCTTTGCTGTTAGCTGGTCTTCACACCCATGGCAAGTGTGCCCCTCAGGGAGGAGGTATGAACGAGGTAGGCATGGGCTTCAGAGCAGGCTCCAGGGGACAAGGGAAGGAGAGTGAGAACACAGATACTCGGTGTTTGTAGAATTCCCTGAAAGAGCAGGGTGACAGTTTCAATGAGGCCACCCTCATTCTAGTAGAGAGAAGAAGACCAAGTCCCCAGCTTGCACTGTGCTAGACGATACAGCAATCAGTGTAAGTGGCTGCAGGCAGTTAAATGCATTAATAAATAGGATTAAGTAAAAATACATTTTCATCAGCCATATTTCAAGTACACAGTAGCCAATGGACTAGTAGGCCCAGAGAAGTGACCTTAGGTGTAAAGTGAGGCTACAACTTTCTTCTGAAAGGGAAAAGGGACCCATTTCATGTTACTGAATGAGGCCGGGGGCATGGGAGGGACCATAAAAAAAATAAGTATGTTCTGCAATTTGATTGTCCATGCTGAATTTTCATCTGCAGTGAGAGATGAGATATAGAAGATGCACGGCGTACCCAGGGTTTTATTTCTGCACAGAAGTTAGCTTATTTTTGCCCCCAGTTGGAACAAGAGAAAATTAAAGAAGGAAGTATGAGCAGAGAAGTTGCCTCGGAAACACTGTCACTTCCTCTTCGTCTCCCATCTGCTGACCCACTGACCTGAAAAATAACCACAAACTTTCCTAGGGCCCACCTTCTAAGTATCTCTACTATGTGCTCTCCTGTCGCCCTGCTTTAGGGGTCAAGGCTCTGCTTTAGGGGCCTGTGGGTGTGGGGAGGAGGTTCACCAGGATGGAAAGCTGGGAGAAACAGTCGTTTTCTCACAGTGATCTTGCATCACCATGAAAACCGGTCTGAATGGACTAGAAAGGGGAGGAGAATTCCTTCCATGCCCCTCCATTCTGCTCTATTGAGTTGCAGACCCATCACCCGGCTGCTTACAGGCACCAGGGAAATTCTTAAGTTCACTCACTGGTAGTCAAACTTACCCCACCCCACTTCACACCATCTACCATTCCTGTCTTGTATTCACAAAATACCCCAGCCTGCCCACTTTCACTGGCCTTGATAACTGGCATTCTATGACTGTCTCTATGACTGACCTAATAGGCTACGGCTCCTGCAGTCAGTACAGACGAGATTGCTGATGCTGTGACCCTTCTTAGGCACAGACTATGTTTGTCTCCTGACCACAAATCTCCCAGGAGCCTCAACACCTCTCCTAGAGGATCAAATGTAAACACCCTGCCCATGAACCTGGGGTCTTTGTGGCTTTCTACACATTTTCTGTTCTTCCTACACATCCAAGGTCAGGGTAGTGTCATCATTGCATGAATTTCCTCTTAAGAAGTTCTTGCCCCTTTTGAGGGCCTTACCCTGCCTGGGGAGTGGAGGGGGGATGGCTAGGGGCAGGTGGGATGTTGGGGGGGGAGGGAGAGGGAGAAGGGATTGACATCTGAAGCAAGCTTGTTCCTAATTTGAACTAACAAAATAAAATAAAGAGTTGGTACATCAAATACAAAAAAAGAAAAGAAAAGAAAAGAAAAGAAAAAGAAGTTCTTGCTCACCCTTTGAGACTCACATCAGGCCATGCCTCCATGACCCAACAGCTAAACTTGGCAGTTTTTTAACCCTGCCCCCTCTTCACCAGGGGCACATACGTAGTGCAGCATTTGTTACCTCGCCTGGTAGTTTTCTTGCCCTGTCTCCCTCTCTGCTAGCAGTGTAAGAGGACAAGGATGCTGCTTCTGTGCTTGTCCTTGCCCATCCTGGATCCTGGATCCCAGTGGAGAACAGGCAGGAGGAGGGAGAGGGGTACACAGCTTCTGTAACAGTGGCCATGGCCGAGTCTCAGTCTACTCAATGGCATGTTTCTTGTGAGACTGTAAGTGTCAGGGGCACTCTGTGGGTGATTAACCCACAATGAGAATGGGCGTATCTCAGCTAGCTCCTACCTTTAAAACACAAGAATTGACCAGCACTTGAGAGGCAGATCTCTGTGACTTTGAGAAACCCAAACAAACAAACAAAATAACAAACCAAGAATTGAAAAGAGGCTAGAGTTGTGAACATGATTATTGTAAATACGTAGTTGATTTAATGTCAAATGAGACGACAGACTCAGACGAG